TCCCTGGTTGCAATTTTTTCGTAGGTCCGCTGATTCCTTTCCACACTCAGGGTTTCCTTGTAGGTTTTGAGGTTTTGATAGAAGTGTAAACAAACCACTGTCAAATTTTTTCGATTCCCAACACTAGAAATTAACTTTTAGTCAGCTTTTAAAACCTTAATGGAATTTAATGTGGATATATTTGATTTGATAGTACTATCATAGAGGTAACTCTAAGACTAGTAGGTCCCGAAGAAACGAGCTCAACATTTTGGCTCAGCTCTGGTACTATCTTCGGTCCTAAGCTAATCGATGCACCCCTTGAAACCTAGGAAAATCCACGAACCCCTCATTTGATCTGTCAAACTTTCATAGCGAATCAAAACAAACATAGTGTAGTACTAGAATTTCGACTAGAATGGGGTACGTTAATCTATTTGCCTGGGACCAATAGGCTAGTCAAGTAGTGAGCCAATTTAAAATCGTTAATTTTCTACCGGTTGATACTATCGTGTTTCACAGTCTTTTTTAAATATAAGATAGATTAATCAAAAAAGGGTCAAAGTACAGACTTATGTTTTCGAATGATTGGCATTTTTGTTTCTTATTTACTTCCATTGTCTTGATTCAAAGTCAATTATAAAAATTGACAAATAGATCAAATGCTTCACATAATGATTATATTCACTAAACGGTTAGTTTAGTAAATGGCAGTGTTGTCACCGGCAGTTCACTTTGCCACCTACTATATAGTTTGAATCGTTTGAACACAACCACCATTTTTCGAGTTCAGTGCCCTCCACAGTGTAGTCAACAGATGGCAATAATGGTTTTTGTGAAGTAATGAAATTGGGTTGTTAGCGGAATGCTTTAATAAAACAGCAAAAAAAGGTTATCTTCCATTTAATTCCACTTAATTAATTTTGGTATCCATGACAGATACGTATTTCGACTACAATGTGCAGTCTTCATCAGTGTCATTCCCACTAAAGAACTTATCAAATTCTAACCCCCTTAAGTACTCATCCCCTAGGTATAAAAGTCAAGATCACAGGTATATAAATGAAACTACAATGTGTTGAATCGGAACCTACCTAACTAATTAAAACCAAAGATTTAAGTAAGCTAAAGGAGAAAAATCTATTCAACTCTCTAATAAGGAAAATCCCAAAGGCTTGGTAGCCATCATAATGGTTTTTCAAACTCTTCGATTGAATTCGCTGCCTTAAAGTGTTTTCGGAAAGGGTGTTTTTTGGAAAGGGCCCAACAAGTTTCGATTGATTGGGCCTCCGGACAATTTCGAGGATTCATCTCGTTTGGCCGTATTGCACATTATTTGCTTTGTACCGAGCTACCGTGTCTTTCGAGTAGTGCATTGAAATCAAATCGGACCAAACTAGTTCTGGGTCATCATGTTGACGGATCATGGGCCGCACAAGCCGATTTAAACACTCCTGAACGTAAATTCCAGTGTTCATCGTTTTCTTCGTCACAAATGACTTACCACACTCACATATCGCTGGCCAAACCATGGCCTTCTTACTAAATTTTTCGGTAAACATTGACTTATCGGCATCGTCAACTTCCTGACCATGACAAACTGTGTAGTATTGGTCTCCCGGAAGCGTCTTGTAGTCAAATTTGACGTATGTTTCATCATCCATGATAACACATGCCGATTTTCCGCACAGCGGGGTATCATATAGCTTCTGAGCCCTCGGTTTGAGAATATGGCTTGTTTCTGACTCCGTTTTGGCTACTTCTGCTTCTTGAACGTTTTCAGCCCGTTTCTTGCCATGGCACGTTGGACGCTACTCTTCGATGTTCTCAGTTTTTTGGCCAAATCTCGAACAGAGGCACTTTTCTTATTGACGAAAGCTGGGTGATCTTCTGGTTCAGTTTTCGGTCCAGCGGTCCCGGTTCACGACCAGATTTTGATGTGCTCTCGAAGGTAACCTCCTCACCGAACTTCCGGCTGGCGGTTTGGGCTGCTCCGATACTCTCTTGCTCCATTTTCGCCAACTTCCTTACTTATATTTAGGTTAGGAATTGAGCTCCATTTGTGCATGATATGTTTCCGCTTTTCCGGGGAAAACTGGTTGAGCAATAAGTAAACAACAGCACACATTGATGAACAGCTGATAAACTTCATCGGGACAGAAATGGCGCTGATTTGAAAGTGTGCTTATACTTTCTGGGACACCCTATAGATGTTTTTTTCCTTTATTATTGAGATTTTTAGCCAGTTGTCTAGTTCATCTCAGAGTAAATACTTAAATACTGAAGAACACGATGGTGCTATCAAATCAAATATTTTAATCAAATCTAAAAAAATCCTATTAATGCTTTTAGTTGGAAAACTAAACATAAATTTGGTAAGATTGTCAATTATTATTCCTGATTTCATGTTTTTTTATTATTATATAGAACATTTGAAGCAGTAGGTGTTAAAAATTAATTTTTTACTTAGAGGAGCGGGTGAAAAGAAAATTGAAAACCTTGTTTTTTTTCCATATAATTTTCTTTGCTTTAAAATGCTGTATCTCAGAAAATTAGCAAATTACATTTTGTCCATCAGCTTATCTTATGTAAAAATGGAATTCTTAATATATTCACTCTGAGAAAATTGCCTTTTATGTATTTAAACGCAAATATAAAATATTTGGCAGCACTGTATAAAAATAAAAAAGTCATATTTAGATTACAATTTCCGGCGATATAGCTAAAAGATAGTAGTGCATTCTTAAAAATCACGAAAAATACAAAATGCTCCGCTCCCAAATATTTGGATTCTTAAAAGTTAGACTAAAATAAACATCTTATCCAAATTTGGTCCAAATCGGAAGAGGTCAATTTCACTTTTCTCGGTTACTTGGACCGGAATGATCCAGCTGTAAATCAGTTTGAAATCATCCGTAAAAATAATTCTCCTTCTAGCAACTCTGTCCTTCTCCCAACGCACACCACCCAAATCCATCCGAACGAACCTTTCTCTCCCGCAACTGATAACAGATTGTTACTGGCTTCCAGCGATGCCAGATTTATTTCTATGCAATTCCGTAGACTTGTTCAAATCTACGGATTTCTACGGATTTTTTTAGTCGGAGGTGATACTTTTTTAGTTTACGTTCAATGATAAATCGATGAAAGAACTTTTGAAAAACTAGGGACAGCCCTTTGGGTTGTACGCAATGGTGACGTAGGACTACGTGGTCTTATATAATAAATGTTATTTGCAGGAATTTGTGTTTTGTGTTGGAATAGGAATTTGAGCGGGGTTCTCTCTGTTTATACTATAGTATGACTAAGATTGCCCTGAAAAGAAGCCTTTGATATGAATTTTAGTTGGGACATGTTCAGAAACTTAACTCTTTTGGAAAATCTTGGTGGCCCTGAAAAGGGCCGATGGTAGTACAGGCATGAATACCATGATACTGTTGCACCTGTAGTTTTTGGCATACTTTCACTGATTGCTTCCCGGGGATCCTTGGTCAGCCATAGCAAGATGTGCGCGTGAGGACTTCCACGGTGCTGAAATTCAATCGTGTCAACCAGCATACTGGATCATCATTGACCAGAGTTGCTCTTTGTAGTGCAGTCAATTCCTGGATAGGATCTGTTAAGTCATTGCCATTGTGTCCTTCTGACAATCGATGTAGGTAGGATGATTCAAAAAATGGGGCCACTTTATCTCATTTGCACTGAGTGTGAGGAACATCGTAGGCTTTCCCAATTGTCGCATCATGGTGAACAAATTTCTCTTCCTTTGTTGCCAATTCTGTACTGAAATCGGTATTGATTTGAGGAAGGATAGATTTCGCTCAATGCACTGCTCGATGAATAAGGCGGTCCTTAAGGTTGTCACGTGTAAAGTTTGCGGTCCCCGTGCACTTAAAAGTGAATTGCAAGCCTTCGGAAACTCTAAGGCGATGAACTTTCATTGTCATATACAACAAATGTTGTGGTTTGGCCACACGCCTGTCTTGACGACGAGTTTCACTGGATGCCATCATGAAATATGTCACCCGAACCCCTGACTTGAATTTCAGTACATGGCCGAGACATATGGCAGGCAAAGCTATCTCTTCACCGTGCTCGTCATAAATTAATGACAGAGGAACCCTGTTTTGCGCGGGAGTGATCTCCAGGCATTTGTCCTCATTCCAAAGGAGCGTTTCCTCGGTGCTCAAGCAGCAATTCTGTCTCATTATCCACGGCAATGATTTCCAGGTCAATTTGAGGATCCACTGCAGGGGTTTCAAGACCATCTATGGCAATCTGATCAATTGTGATCCTGTAGCGGTGGTACAGTGAGGTGCCATTTGATGAACACGTTGATGGCCTGATCATCATTGAGCTGACGGGGCGTCTCTCTTACACTACGCAAACGGTAGAACAACATTCGAGCAAAAAGAAGATTATCAAAAAACTATCATACCTATGACATATGTTATTTCGTTCTAATTCCTCAATTTGGTGTAAATTAAACCATTTCTGATCAAAATTTTTTATTACTATGACATCGTTGCTTGTTATTTTCAGAATTCACACAAGCACACCATCAGCAGCTCTTATTATGAGAAAAATTAAAATACATACATTCGTGATGCCCTTGGGCGACAGTGTCGTATGACAGATAATTGAGCAAGAAAACGGTTGACAAGTTGCAGAGGCGTATTTTACTTTATGCTTCTTTCCCTTCAGAATCAGATTATGCTCTAGATTGTAAAATTCGATACTGAAGGGAGACGTACACTGAAGAGAAAAATCCGTAGAAACTGTACCGAATTCCGTAGATGTTGCCTACGGATCCGTATTTCCGCAAAAATTTGTAAAATCCGTAGATCTACGGAGATTTCCGTAGATTTGGCATCTCTGCTGGCTTCGTGTCGCGAAAGCTCCAGAGCATCATTCTCCTTCAACAACATACCCACGAGCCACGATATTCACTGTCCACAACCGCAGGGAAACTCAACCCGTATCAGTTTGTCCTGGGCAATCGTCGAGAGCGGTCGCGACTATCCTCTCAACCTAACGGAAGACCATCGGAGCAGTTGATCGGACCTAAGACTGGTTCTTCCCACCCAGAAGTCGTGGCGTGGGCTTGCATAGAAATCTTGCTAGGGATACACTCTACGGAGGTGGGATCCTTATTCGGTAGTGACCGCGTGCGTGCTTTTCACTCCCTCTCTGTTGGTGTTTGTGAGTTGTGGAAAGTGGGTGAAACTGTGTGTGGAGCGGAAAAAAGGCTCAATTGCCAAGGATATCTGATTTTTTGTTGTCCTGTTTCGGAAGTTGGTTGATCCTGCGAGTTGTTCCTCTTTTTTCGTTGTTGCTTTCATTTCGAATGGGATTAAGTGCTGCTTCAAGGGTATTGTGTGGCACCCATCAGCGACGACGAGGACGACCGTAGGGGAATAGCAGCAGCGTGCCGCAGAAGAATCATTACGCGCGTGTTGTGACCGAACATCAACTCCCCCAGGAAACATATACAAGGGGATCTGTACAATATCAAGTGAGGGAAAGATTTTTTTTTTACATTCCATTACGGTCTGTTGGAAGAAAATATCAAGAACGGTTCTTTCCAGCTCTATAAATCATTTGGTTGTGTCATAAAAAAGAAATCGTTCAAGAAGGAAAAAAGTGAAACGGAACGGGTGCGAGAATCCTTCACCACAAGTTGAATTTAATTTAAGGCGCAAAACGAAGACGTCCGGAAAGCGTTGAAGCTGAAAGTGTACAGTGGCTAGCCGGGGAAAAATATAAATAAGGAGAAAGTGAAAAAAAAAAACGGGAAATTGGAAAAGTTTACGGTGAACTGAACGAGGAAGTGAAAAAGAGTGCAAACGAGGAGGCTCGTTCCTTTGAATTTCCAGAGGAACCACAACATCGGCTGCAGCAAATTCCCGGTTGGTATTAATTAAATCTCTATGTGCAGGGCAAAGGGATAGTGAAGTAGGTATTTGAAATTTTAAGGTTTTCATTGTTTGTGTTTCTTCCGGTGGAGGCGATTCAGTATCGGAATGGAAGTTTTTCCAGAGAAAGTTTTCTTTCTGCGCCGAAAATGTTAAAAGCGGTTTCCTGTAATATTCGTTAATTTATTACACTTGAAGGGAAGTTTTGTTAGAGTCGTAAAAGTAGAGCACCACGAGGGAATGGAAACTGCGTTGGGTACGGTAGGAAATTAGGAGATCCATTGGCACAAGCATTAAATATGCATTTCATTGTCGTCGTTACTATAAGAGCCTGCTATCCGGATTCATGGCTTTTTAACTGAATGATTCACTGGTAACTGACACATTCGAAGTAGCAGTTTTTGTTGCGCCTCAGGACATGGTTCAGGTAAGCCCCATCTACTGTACAGCTTCGCGTTTTCAGAACACAAATTTCACCTTCCAGAAGCTGTTCTGATCTGAGTTCTGCACTCAATGCTTGCTTCCCTGGGATCAACACTGTGTTACATTTTTGCATTGATGACATTCAGCACTAGTATTGACCAAGTTTTACAATACTCTTGGTGGAATTCAAGACTATTGTTAAAAGGAAGACTTGCATTGGCGTTGGCGATTCAAATTTGACATCTACAGGTTTTTCAATCGATTAACCCCCTGCCCCCCTGTGTCAAGCATTTTCCCATACCTATTTCACGTACTGTCACAAATTATAGGACCCCCTCTCTCTCAAGAGAGGGCGTCATATTTGGGTCGCCCCTTGCATAAAAATGCAATACACTTTTAATCCTCAATTTTTTTTGCAATTCCATGAAATTAGCGTGATAAATTCAACATTTCATGCTAAAACAATAAAGTAGAGTAGAGTTTTTACAACTAGGCTTACCAATACTGATTTAGATCTCTATTGATTTCTGTGCAATCGGATAGTTTTCTTTGATTGTGCTTTTTTTTACTGTTCTTATTGCGCTTGAGATTAACATTGAAAGTTTCGAGATTTTACTTCTAAATCTGTGGCTCTGAGAGGTTTTTGCATGTTCTCCAAGTTGCATGCATTCAGCGTTTCTGCATTTGACGGAGTTTCAAAAGTGTTTGAAACTACTCGGAGTTCCAAGAGGTTTTTAAAATTACTTCTAATTCCCGGCCAGAGGCCTCAATAGGGAAGTCGAATCGAAGCGTTTTTCGTATGAAAGCTTGTATGAAAAAGTCGTTTCGACTTGGTTGCGACTTGTGTTCCCAGCTGCCTACCGTTTGCGTGATAATGTTTGCACCATTGAGCAATGTCTAGATTAAAAAAAATTCCAAAAAAATTTGTTTTCGAGTTTTTTTTTATTTATTTGAAGGGGGGATGTTTATCAGAGTCTTAAATTATGTTATTTATCAACCGAGTTTCTACTTGCTGCAATTACGGCCTCCATACGCTTCCGGAATGCACGGCAGGTTCTAATCATATAGTCTGGATCCATTTCTCTCCAGGTACGGGTCAATGTTTGTCTGAGGCTTGCTGTACTCGGGTGGCGTTTAGAACAGGCCTTGGTCTTCATGACGCGCCATATTGAGTAATCCAGCGGATTAAGATCGGGGCTGGATGGCGGCCACATATCCTTCGCCCAGAGCGGAAGATGTTCCTGCAACCACTTCTGAGTCCGGTTCGAGGTGTGGCACGGAGCCCCATCTTGTTGAAATACAACATTTGGCTTCGGACCGTACTGTTCTTTGATCCACGGAAGAACATACTTACTTAAAATCCCGATGTAGACCTCCGTGTTGACCTTGTCGCCTTCTGGAATGAACACCGGGTCCATTTTTTTTGCCATCGGAAGTCACCAAATCAAAAAACCATAACGCTAGCAGGATGCTTGATCAAATACACGTTCTTGTGCTCGTCAGCCACGTCTTTTACCGGAAGAGAACTAATATACCGGTTGGTTCTGGAATTTGATACGGGATCGACGGTAAACATGCTCTCGTCGGTGAACAGGTTTACCGGATTTTTTCACTTAAGGAAATTCAAGATTTTCATGCATCGTTTGACTCGTAGCTCCCGGATGCGGTTGGTAATCATGTGAGTTTTTTTACGTGTCCTCGACTTCGCCCCGCAATCTCCCTTTACGATCTTCCGTGCCGTAAAGTCACTGATCCCGTGTTCCTTTGTCATTTTCCTTATTGAACGCACTGGATTCACCCGAATTTTGATAGCAGCGATAACCCTCGGAACCCGAGCTGACCTCGGACGACCTGTGGCCACCTTCGCGGATAGTTGTCCTTTCTTTTCTCGGTCTAAAACCCTTTTGACGGTCCACCGGGACACTCCCACGGCGATTGAAATGTCTTTTTGCGACATTTGCGCGTGGGACAAATCATGAATACGCTACCACTTCGTCATGGTGCAAATGTCAAACTAATAGCGAATTCGTTTATTATTCAGTTCCAACCTGGATCGGGTATCAGGTTTGGGTCTGCTTGTTTTCTGACAAACGTCAGTTTGCTCGTTTGTTTTTAAAACCTAGCTCAGGTTGAGGTTCGCACTGACAAAAAGTTCGGTTTCGCACTGGGTTGGAACTGGTTCCAACCCCGATAATAAACGAATTCGCTATAAGTAAATCATTTTCTTTTATACACAACCTACAAAGTCCGCCATGTTTCACGCACAGTCTGACGTTTGCTTATGGATTTTCTCATAGGAGTATAGAGCTACAGAGTCGCCGTCAACGCCAATTTAAGCACTAGGTCAGCTGTCATTCGTTTTTCCACGTTTTCCTGGCAACGCTCCGCTCAACGATTATCGTACAGAACCAGAGTTACATTTTCCTCGTGTGTGCAAAAATGTGCTGCCGAGACTCTCAACAAACCGTCTCCCGTCGCAACGAAAACAACATGTGACGAGCGAGAAAGAGACACGCGAGAATAAGATCCGAGCGAGAAACAAATGCGACACCCAAAAATCTTGGCGTGCGCGAGACTCGCGCTGATCTCATGTGCCTCATCTCATGTGCTACGATTAATGCTAGAGCTGCAGAGCTCGAAGTTCTTGGTGTAGGTAAGCGAAATACAGGCTGTTGAAACTTGGTTGCTTTGACCGACATTTCATTTGCGTTTGCACAAACCATTCCTATTTTAGAGGAAAGGTAGCATATATTTGCAGTGCTTAAATTCTTGAAATCCTCTAATAGCAAAAGCCATTAAGTTGCTGGTCAATTAGAATATTCTTTGTTTATTTTTTCCGGTTCAACACTTAACTTCACTTGCATGACTAACATCTTTTGACACGTTATTTTCAAAATATAGAATGGACAAAAATTCTACAAAAAGTGTATCGGTATTATTTAGTACGGGGATTTGACATTGTTAGATGGGATTCAAAATACGAATAGATTATATCGGAATGCTACGAAAGCAGCAATGTTATGATAATTCAATGGGTGAAAGAATTTTTTGCAGAATATTTTTTCTTGGCGTATTACCTTTACGCTTTCACTTGTACTTTGTTGCCATTACATTAAAAATGTTCAGATTTTTTTTTGATGTGCCTCATGCATTCAGATAAATTCTATAACAGAAGCGGTGACCCACTGGGTGATGGCGCGGTCTATGCTAAATAGTTGCAGCAAAATAGTGACATGAGAGGGCTTCGTTGGCTTTAACTCAGATGAGCGTGTAATCCAGTGCAGTGATATATTTACCATTCCAATTATTAATATCACCAAGTCTACCGAGCTTCTGTTCCGTTCCTTCAAATCGCTTTCTGGTTGGCACGGTACGATCTAGGTGGCTTCTGCTGACCATTGCTCTGCGGGTTTCGATGGCATCGTTTTCGCGTCGATGTCCGTAATCGCTAAGAAGAAATAACCTTTTCGGTTAAAGGGTGATACGGTCAAAATTTGGTCAAGGGAAAACGCGTGTAAATCGGTGAAATCGTTTATTTAAAAAATCAAATTAAATTTCTTTTTCAAGTTCAATTAGTATAAAATTCAGGAAAAATATTCAGTTAGGCTTCCGCTTTTCCCAATCCGAATTGCCGGGCCTTATGCTTGACCCCTGCCATCAGATTTTGTACAGCCACCTTGTCCACCTTCTTCGCCGCAGAAAGCCAGTTTGCCTTGAACTGCTGCTCGCCCTTAGCAGTTTTTTTGGTCTTCTTTAGGTTCCGCTTGACAATAGCCCAGTATTTCTCAATTGGGCGGAGCTCTGGCGTGTTGGGAGGGTTCTTGTCCTTGGGAACCACCTGCACGTTGTTGGCGGCGTACCACTCCATGGCCTTTTTACCGTAGTGGCAAGATGCCAAATCCGGCCAAAACAGTACGGAACAACCGTGTTTCTTCAGGAAAGGCAGCAGACGTTTATTCAAACACTCTTTCACGTAAATTTCTTGGTTGACAGTCCCGGAAGCTATGAAAATGCTGCTTTTCAAGCCACAGGTACAGATGGCTTGCCAAACCAGATATTTCTTTGCGAACTTTGACAGTTTCATGTGCTTGAAAACATCTGCTACCTTTCCCCTTCCTTTTGCCGTATAAAACTCCTGTCCCGGAAGCTGCTTGTAGTCAGCTTTGACGTAGGTTTCGTCGTCCATTACCACGCAGTCAAACTTCGTCAGCATCGTCGTGTACAGCCTCCGGGATCGCGCTTTGGCCGTCGTATTTTGTTTATCATCGCGATTTGGAGTCACTACCTTCTTGTAAGTCGATAGTCCGGCTCGTTTTTTGGCTCGATGCACGGTTGTAGACGATACACCCAGCTTATTTGCGGCATCTCGGAGAGAGAGGTTAGGGTTTCGCTTGAAACTACCGGCAACTCTCTTTGTCGTCTCAGCGGCTTCCGGTTTTCGATTTCCCCCCGATCCAGACTTCCTAGCTGTCGACAAACGTTCCCCAAACACTTTAATTACATTTGTAACGGTTGATTTGGCAACTTTTAGCGATTTTGCCAACTTTGCGTGCGAGTAGCTCGGATTTTCG